AGCGCCGCCGCAGCTGCCGGCTAAATGAGGCCGCCATGAATAGTGTAATGGCGACTGGCGCACGTCCCCGGTTGGCGGGCACATGGTAGGTGGCCGTGCAACTACGGCTCCGCGCGGGGCCGTAGTTTCCGGGAAACGCTAGATTTCCGGTTTTAACGTCAGATGCTTGGTGAGATGAGGTGGTTGCCAAAGTAGCGGTGCAGCGCTAGCAGAACAACATTTTAGGACTGTGGGCGTTCAACTTTTTTCGAAATCACGTCGATGCAAGGTAGCGTATATGAGCAGCATGGTTAACAGCGAAACTTAAGGTCTAAACGCCGCTGACAAACTTTGTTATGTTGAAGGTCATGCCACGATGGGCTTAAAATCGTCTGATATGGCTGAGAAAAACACGCCAACGTTTTTAGACTACGACGAATAACATGAAGCGCTAAGAGATCGATGTGTACGCAGGGGCCCATTGATTATGCTTATCGTCTTTCGATGCCAGCTTCCTTCCTCATCAACCACATTGCCGTACATAGCGTAAAGCCCAAGTAATGAAATGGCAGTGCGTCATTACGATGTCACCATTATGGTGTCGCCAGTTGACATGCGCGCGATGTCGAAGGCTCGGCGATGAAAACAAATCGGGACACAACAGTAAGAAAAGCCCGTTCGTATTGGTACTACGCCATATAACGTTACGAAAAGTGATTTAACCATAGTTATTATATCTGACGAGTGGCGTGCGTTTTCCCGCTGGTGCTGAAAATCACCAATCGTGTCAAAAAAGACACCTGAATACATACAACATGAGTATCGCAAACAAAATCTATGTCGCCCATTTGACTGCCTAAGTTGAGTGACATCCTGCGCTAAGGTGATTAGGCGGTGCATTTTTTCTCAAACTGATCCTTTCCAAAATGTGCTAGAAATTTGTGATTCTCAAGGCAGGCTTCTAACTCTGAAGAGTAGAAAGCACTCGTGGGCTTGCACATTTCTCAATGACGGTTTCTGCTCACTGCGCCCTAGCGCTTGCCAGGGGCACCATGCGTCGTGATGTGGTCGTCACTAAGAGCTTGCCATGCGTCCTTAAGTCATCACTAAGAGCTCGTCATGCGTCGTTGAGTCATCCCTAAAAGCTTGTCATGCGTCGCAATGTCATCACTCAGAGCTTGTCCTGCGTCGTGATGTCACCACTTTGGTTACAACAGCCATCACTTTGGTTACAAGAACCAGTGGTACACGGCCAGTGGAGTGTCATTTATCCATGCGGTCAATGAGGAAACAAAACTATCCGAAAACATTGCACTATCACGTCCGATCGACCATGAACACGGAAGATAACTACACGCATCACGAGAAGTTGCCGAAACTTTGGATGTTTAAATAGATCAGCTGGTAAGTAAAGTAGCACATCTGAAAGATACTTTTTGGACATGCCCGTACTCCTGAAGATGTCGAGCTCCTTGCCCACCTTGGATAGCTAATCATTCAGGCGGACTGCGGACATCTTACGGCGCACTGATCAGCGTAACACGTTGATTTGTAGGTAAATAAGACGATACTGATAGTCTTATTCCGCGTAGAGTAGCCAGAAGAATGGAGAGATGCTTGCATTAGTATCTATAGCACATCTTTCTCTCCATTCTCCTTGCTATTCTACAAGGAATCGGGCTATTAGTACTGTCTTATTGATGTGCATAATGTTCTCCGCAAATGCACACAACTTGGGAGGTTTTGGTTTTAATTCTGAAAATGGTGACGGTTTCGACATGCAGCGCAGACGACCAGTACAGCGTAAGAGCTCTCGACGAGCGCAGCATTGGGCTGTGGAGGGGCAGACAGCCTGCGAGCGGGATGCGCTGGCCGAATAATTATGGGGCCCGTGCGCCACTATGAAATTGATTGTCTTTCTCTCAGCAGATCATTTGCAGGATGCGTGCTTCACCGAAGCTAGATTAGATCGCAGGCCGGCGCTGTTGGAATTCAGCCATGAACAGCCCCGGTTTCCCGCCCCACCTGAGCAGCGACGGTGCCCGTATACACCACGGTACGGCTTCCGTAGGGATGAGGCTTGGTGGTCGCGGTTTGGAGATGTTGACTTTTGTGCTACCACATTTGTAACAACTCACTGTACCCCATAGTTGCGTGTAAAGCTTCACAACTGTAGGCTGGATGTGATAGCTTCTCTGAAGATTTTGGTCTTTTGGTTTGGGGCTTTTCATAGTTTTGATCTCTCGTTTGTCAATAGATTAAATTTCTGTCGATCTCGTATGGCTTTAGTAAAGACATTTTTGTCTTCATCGCAAGTTCTGCTGAAGTTATTTTGACGCTCTCTCATAACTCCGAAATGGCCGTAGCGGGACAAACGTGCCAGACATGCGCATCAAACGGGCGTGATAACTCGAATGACCACGATCATTCTACAGCTAATACAGACGCAGGACGAGGCACATGAGGTTGACGACAGGGCTCCATCATTCAGTCCCAATCACCGGCACTATAATGACAAACAGTATAGACTTTGCCCAGTGTGCAAACCGCCTTACGCTTGCTTCTGTGCTATAAAATGTGACGGAAGCCACGCGGCGGTGGTCAAGGACACTGCCCTAACCGTCTGGATTCCACCTTGGACCGCACGTGCCGGCAGCAGTCCCGACACAGACAACTGGTAACCCATGATATAGCACGCTGTTAATACCGTTAATGAGCAGCGGTGTTATATGGTAATGACGCCGGGTTGAGTACAGCGTAAAACGAGTGTCAGAGCCGGCCGTGTCAGACAGACAAGCGTGTCCTCAACGGAGGCGGGAATGGCCACCTGACACCCAGCGAGGACGGGCCGGGTGTCAGGCTGAACATGCATCGTCCCGACTGGTCATCAAGAGCGAAGCGGTCGCGGTGGCCGCAGGCGGGAGCTCGAGTTGTTGTCGCACACGGCCATGCTCCAGCCCCTGGTCACGGCAAGGACACACGCCTGCGGCTCCGCGAGTCCCGCGGGTCTGCCACGGCTCATCCGAGGCGCCGCACCGCGCCGCACCGCGCCGAGCAGAGGCTCGACATGTGCCCTGGCACGCTTCAACGCTGGTCAGCTGGATTACGTCATTTTAGATGGTCTCCTACAATTCAACCGGCAGGTCGGGTGGCATTATGTCAGACCATGTTTTTGTCTTCCCTGCCTTGGTCTTCATACGCTCGCAGAGTCAAATTGGTTCATGGCAAAAATGGCATTTGCATTTAGAAGTAATGTGCGGTCATCTGAAATTACCCCATGACAGTGCACTTGAACATAGGCAATCTTGCGCGCGCAATCTTCATATAACTGCCATGATGACATTGGTGTGCTGTAAAATGTCTACTAACATTACGGGAGATTTCCAGGATTCCATATAAAGATTCGTTGGTCATGAATAATCTTGACATCATTACTCGCACATGTCAGTGGTTTTGACTGCCATGCAACGAGCTTATGGGGCAAGTTAATATGAACGGTAGTAATTGATCTCATGTGACATGGAACGCAAATGATCTTTTGCAAAGTTATGCGCAATAATGACGCTCGTGACATTATAACTTTGGATCTTTACAACTACTTGAAAAAGCCCTGCACACGCAACGCGAAATTAACGTTATGAATTGCACAATTTTTACATCTTACCCGTGCGGACTTCCGAAAACATGCTAAAGCACGGTGTTATGGTAGCGTACTTAACATTAAGGACATGTCTTAACAGGCTCAAATTTCAGTCGAATTTAAATATGCTTTATCTAAGTTCGGGAACGATCACAAGCAGCTAGTAAGGGCCCACCGACCTCTCCTATGATGGCGGAGGCTATACTTATCCGCGGCTGGCGCAAGGTGATGAACTGTTTGTAATTGGCAATGTGCCGAAGCTGAGGGCATGCTTCGGTTATCAAACTTTTCTGCTCATCATGATTAAGTCACAGAATCGGTGGGATGAAAGCACAGAGATGCACACTATACTGTATTCATACGAGAATGGCACATTTTGCGTCCGGGCTCACCGACAAGCGAAACAAGGATTCCCTAAAGCCTACAAAATATCCTCAAAGAGGGGTCAGAGGCTAACTAAAATCAGACCATGGCAACAAGAAATGGTGAGGCCACCAGGGGCACGGCATCGATCCACGGTAGCACTTCACGGTCGGCGAGATATGATCAGACCGCACATCTAGGGGAAAGGTGCAGCGCCAAGAGTGGTATAGATCAATAGAAAACCATTCGGGAAATCTGGAAAAGTCGTAAGGTTGATATTGTATCGATGGCGATGAGGCAATCTGAAACCGAGCACAGAGCAATGGCTGCAATGCTAAGGCAAAATAGCAGGCGAGCGACGTGATGGTTCAGTTTAATGTCACTTAACAGTCCAATTTTTTGTGCCCGATAATGATTGGTATTATAGAGTGCGCTAGCTACCTGGGCCATTTCGCTCTTTTTGTACTCAGTTACAAGTCTGAGTGTCAAATTCGCCAACGCTGGAGATGCAGCATACACAAATAAATTGAATAGTCCACATTAGCATTCCAGGCAAGTATTGTCACACACGGTAGAAAACACAAATCTCCCCAAAGTTTCACTGCAATTAGAAATTACTACGATACTAGTCAGACATGACAGACGTTGTCTTAGACGCAATACATTTTGCCATTCTCACAAGAACATAACGAAACCAAACATTTTCCATCTACACACGACATAACTTAGCAGGGATACTTCGAAAACATAAAATAGAAGGCAATGTACGACAACCACGAAAGCAATGCATACCGGTTTACCTCACCCACAAACTCGCACGGGGTTCTCAAACAAGGTGATCCAAAGCGAACAGATCCTTGCAAGACCGTCATGTCAAGTACCACACAATATCTTCGGCACAGGCCACGCGAATATCCAGCGGGCCGCAGCTCGCGGGAGTTGGCACACAGGTATTGCCACGGCGGCCATGAAGGATCCCGCGGAGGGTCGGCCCACCCGCCGCCCGCGCCGTGCGCCGGCGGTCCGCCCTGCCGCCGGCACCGAGCCGGCGCTCCGTGGCCTGCGCGGTGCGCCGGCGGCCCCGGGCTCCCACAGCCTCTCCTCGAGCTCAGACAGCGCGCCGGCAGCTGGCGGGTCACGGGCCGCGGGCGCTGACGGCCGGTCGCCAGATCGATGCCCGCTAGTGCGCGTGTCCGAGCCAGCCGAGCCGCCTGCTTCACGAGTACGGGTGGAAGCCGGCCGGCTTGCCCTCCGGGAAGTGTGCCTGCATGCCGTAGCTGCCGGGGTACCCCATGCTTGTCGCCGAGCCGGTGAAAAAGCTGAAAACGGACGGCATCGTCAGTGGGAAGTCGCTTTTCTTTTGTAATTATGCTACGAACCATATGCAATAGTGTTTGTGATTCTCACCAAATGATTCTGCAAACCAAAAACGCGTATTTAAAGTTAGCACACAACTCAACAACACTTTCGCCCTTATTGCCCTCAATCCCTCACCCCTTTCTCTTACTTTTTACCCTCTCTATCTTTCCCTCTCTCTTTCTCACCATCCCTCTCTCCCCGTCTCTCCCTTCCCCTCTCTCTCTCTCTCTCTCTCCCTCTGTCCGTCGGTCACCTGTTGTCGGAAGAGAAGCCTGGCCAGCCGGCCACTGAGCCCGGGTGCATGCCGCCAGCAAATGACGTCATCCCGGCGTACTGGTTCACTGATGACGTCATCTGGGAGGTGGAGCCCTGCAGGTACTCAGGGTAGCTCAGCGAGCTGGCCTGGGCCCAGGACTGGCCTGGAAGATATAAATACCTTGCGTTAGATGCGGCAGTGACCCTGTGACATTTTGAGACACGGATTGGATTGGGTGTCTGCGGCAAGGTCACCGGTACTTGGCGTACATATGTAGTGCCTGCGTGTACCCATGCATCGTGTCTGCGTCACCACCTCCATATGAGCTCGATCAACTGTAGCATTTCCTTGTGAGCTGCGGTGCATCTCGGGCCGTCCCGGTACTACCCCCTTCCCCCCTCCCCAGACGCCGACATGGCACGGGAGATGATTAGCGTCACGAGGTCTGCGCTATCGCGTTGCACGTCGCCCGACCTATCCCACTTTCGCCGTTCACGTTGCGCGCGAAGCGCACGCAGGCGGGCCACGCACCGCGGCGCGGTGGCCGATCTATGCCGGTGCTGAGGTGCTGGGTGACGGGATGCCGGGATGCCGGGGTGCCGGGGTGTCCGGGTGACAGGATGCCAGGATGCCGGGGTGCCAGGGTGCTGTCGGGCTAATCCCACAGCCACCGGTCCGCACTGCCGGCTGGCGTCGCCGGGCTCAGGCGGGCTGAACCGACGGCGGACAGCAGCAGTGTCGGACAGCGGTCCGGGCACGACGCAGCTCGTCGGCTCGCTCCACGGTCCGGCAGACGGAAGACCGTTCTCATTGTTCACGCAGCACTGTTTACGAACGCCCGGACGAACGCATTCGACCCGTTTCGACATGTCAGAAATAACGCGACTGTCGATCACGTTCGTGGAAGTCTGGCATCGCGGTAAGTCTGTGTGACGCGCCCGGCAATAAATTGCCTGCGGTTGGCCGACGCGTGCCATCGTCTCTACCTCCGTCCCTTTGCAGGACGAGTCCACGCTCGCGCCAGCGATGAACACTCCGGCACGGCGGTAGACGAAGACGCATGGGTAAGGTGACGCTCTGAGTTGGCTGTCGCGATCAAGGTGCCCTGTTCGCGCAGATTTCAAGGATTCGGCCTTCGTCTCACCACCGGAGCCAGCACCAGCGGGCTCACCTCTTGTGGAGAATGCGGGTGCCGTGATCACACGCTCATCTGTTCTGTCCGTGGTGGGTGGGTATGTCCGCAGCGGCCCTTCAGAGACGGCGGCTAGCTGGGCGGATGCGGTGTGGCAGTGTGGCACCGTCGAGGGTTCCTACCGCGGCCGTGCGCGGAGTGGAGGTCGGTTTATGGGTGCGCGGCGTTCCTGTCCTGGTCGTTAACGCCTTGACACGGACAGCCGGCGTTATTTACGGCAAATTCGTCCGCCGCTTTATGAGTTGCACGGAGAATTGGAAGAGCGCGCCGCCTTGTGCTGTGCATCAGGAAATGAAACTAATTACATGGAGACATCTGCACAGACCGCGCGGCCGTGACGCGGCCGCCCCGGGCCTGCGCGGGCCAGTGGTCTGGCGCGGCCGACGGCTGGGCTCACATAGGGCCGGATGAGTGACGAGCTGATGAGGTGTTCGCAGGCTAAATTTGCACGCAGGCAGCCGTGTGTGTACATATTTGTTTGTGGAAGTTTTAATAGTAGCTTTAGCGTCCTTACATGCTTGTGCGTGCTTTGGACGGCGTATTGGTCCGCTCATTATGTCATTGTAGCACGCTAAGCGTTGGAAGTTTACGCTAAACGCGACGCGATGGTCACCTATAGGACATTGTGTGTGAATTAAAAAAAATATTATTCTCCAGTAAAGATCAATGTTTCACTTTGATACAGCACAGACTGTTTTATTGTTCTGTAACAAAAACTTGATCGAAATATTAGCCTTGCTTGTGGCTGGTTTAATGGTTGGTTCGAATCGATTTTGGTAAAAAAGGTGTACTAAAAATAGATAACGTGTTGACACCACTAGTTGGAAGCCATTTTTGTGTTTCCTTTCGTGCTCCGCCCACGGCGCCGTCATAAAATGCTGCCGAACTGGGAAAGCAAGTGAGTGGAGGTCGCTTACCCTGCACTTGCCCACCCCTCTCCCCCCCCCCCCCCCTGAGCCACGATATTCACCGTGCCGAGTTTGAACGGCGTGGGAGAGCCCTGGGTATGCCTCTGGCGCTGCCGAGTCGGTGGGGCGGGGAACGCCGCTGAGGCTGCACCGCTGACCGCGCCGAGTTTGTGGCGGGATCAGGGGGGGGGGGGGGGACGCCCTCCAGCCATCCTCACCGTACTGGGCGGCGGGCGCGCCGGCGTCGGGCAGGTAACCGCCGTACGGGGCCGAGCTGGCCGGGCCGGCCGCCGGCGAGGCGCCGCTCGGCGACACGTGGTGCTGCGCGTTCAGCTGCTTGCGGAGCCGCGCGCGCCGGTTGCTGAACCACACCTGTACCCGGGCCTCCGTCAGGGTGGTCCTGTGGCGGACGCGGCGCGGTCACGTGACGCTCTGGGCGTGACGTCATGCTGCTCGAGTGGCTGGACCGCAGGCGTGAAGGATTGCTCGCACCTACGAGGTCTTGCCCAATATTTTAGCACAGTCAAGGCCGAATGCTCACTTATACGGCATGACATAGCCAAAATGACCCAAGTGATTAACCAAGCGCCAACCACAGGAGATTTAGTGTGATTTGTCTATGTTTCATCCTGAAGCATTAGTCACATTCAAGCAAACGTCCGATCAGTCATGTCCGTGGCACGCCATATGGATGTCGCCAGCAACATCCGGAGGAAACCTTGCAACACACACACCACCGTGCCCAGTCGCTGTGGCTGCTGGTTCCAGTAAGCCCTCCCTCCCTGCCAGTGCTTGCCCCTCCCCCACGTCCCGCAACAGACGCACACGCGGCGCCCGGTACTGACTTGAGGGCCAGCTTCTCCCTGGTGTACACGTCCGGGTACTGGGTGATGTCGAAGGCCTTCTCCAGCTCCTCCAGCTGCTCGGCCGAGAACGTGGTGCGCGAGCGGCGCTGCTTTCGGCTCAGCTTGATGCCTGGCTCGCTCTCCTCGTCACTGCCGCTCGTCTCGCCGCCTGCCGGGGAGCCCTCGTCAGACTTCACCCGGGGAAGACGGGTCGGACTTCATTAGGGAGGGCCGCTGAGGCCTCGCCCTTCGGGTGACTGGTGAAGCTTCGCCCGGGGGAAGGTCGGTGAGACTTCACCCGGGGAAGACCGGTCGGACTTCACTAGGAAGGGTCGGTGAGGTCTCACCCTTCGGGTGGCTCGTGAGGCTTCACCCGGGGGGGGGGGGGGGCGTCAGGCTTCATTAGGGAGGCTGAGTTCTCACCCTTCGGGTGACTGGTGAGGCTTCGCCCAGGGGAGGGTCGGTGAGACTTCACCCGGGGAAGACGGGTCGGACTTCATTAGGGAGGGCCGCTGAGTTCTCACCCTGGGTGACTGGTGAGGCTTCGCCCGGGGGAAGGTCGGTGAGACTTCACCCGGGGAAGACCGGTCGGACTTCACTAGGAAGGGTCGGTGAGGTCTCACCCTTCGGGTGGCTCGTGAGGCTTCACCCGGGGGTGGGGGGGACCGTCAGACTTCATTAGGGAGGCTGAGTTCTCACCCTTCGGGTGACTGGTGAAGCTTCGCCCGGGGGAAGGTCGGTGAGACTTCACCCGGGGAAGACCGGTCGGACTTCACTAGGAAGGGTCGGTGAGGTCTCACCCTTCGGGTAGCTCGTGAGGCTTCACCCGGGGGGGGGGGGGCGATGAGACTTCACCCGGGGTGGGACCGTCAGACTTCATTAGGGAGGGCCGCTGAGGTCTCGCCCTTCGGGTGACTGGTGAGGCTTCACCCAGGGGAAGGTCGGTGAGACTTCACCCGGGGAAGACCGGTCGGACTTCACTAGGAAGGGCCGCTGAGATCTCAACCGGGGTGGAACGGTCAGACTTCGGTCAGGCAGGGTCGGCCGCGCTTCACCCAGTGGCCAAGTCCAATGCTAGTCAGCTATTGTCCGGTCACCAAACGCGGTCGATTATCCAAACAGCAGAGATTATCGGCAGGACAGCCTGGATGGGGGAACGGATTTGGTGTCGGATCTGATAGGAACTCCTTCAACGGGTGCAGACCTTTCGCGAATGGGGACGACACCTACGGAGAGAGTTCAAAGATAGCCAGGCGCTGCCTCCCGACCTAGGTAAGAGCGACCGGAGACGTAACGTGGTCGGGCACAGTCTCTGACGTCGAGGGTCGGGAGACCATTCCCAAACACTGATACAGTGATCAACGACTGACAAGAGTTTGTGACGGACGTGGTTCAAGTCAAGGTAACGTGGGAGGGGGAGGGGGCCGACATAGGAACTTGCTGAGTAGGTGCCATGAACAAATGCGCAGTAACTCATTGGGATAACCTGCAATGTGCCTGCTTGGAGTAGAGGATTCGTGAGCTTTAGTTTTGAGCTTCAGCTTAACGCTGGTGTGGACAGAGTTGGGGCTCAAGGCGTAGTCGTTTGTAATATTTGTATCATACGCCGCCATACGCGTAGAATGCCAAAGACCGTTTCTAAGTTTAAAAAACCGCTCGTAGGTCCGGGACTGTCTGTGGTGAAGGTGACGGTGGATTAAGCATCAGAGCATGTCATCACTCATCACCACATGTTCCTTCTATCCACTGGGGGCATCTCGCTCCGACGGATGAACAAGGCACACAGACTGATGCCTTCGGGCTGGAAATGGGAAATGCCGCTACAGGTGAAGTTCATGCACGAGAAAAACATAAAACCGCACGCGAGCAACATTTATGGGTGGTATTTTATCCGAACACTCCACCTGTAGATTTTCAATCGGAAAAACCATCCGAAACCGCTCTATCACCATTTTAAAAGCCAGCACAATTCACCAAATCAGTGCGACCATTAACCACACAGGGCTGGAACTTTTACACGGCACTAACCACCAATCAGCCTTTTTGTGGCGGCCGGCCTGACCAATGGCGTCGCTCACGCGGTCGTGTGGCCTCTGACCCGCGCGCACAGCTCGGCCCCCGCCCGCCGCGGCCGCCTGCGCCGCCACAAAAAGCCTTGCATGCCACGCCAGCGTTACTATCAGGAGAATTAGGCCGCGATTAGGTGGCCGGCCGCCGACGCCGGTGGTCCGCCCGCGCCGGGCAGGTGCTCCGGTCACGTGACACGCGGGCGGCCATCAGCCCGGCGTCACGTGACGCGGCCGCGCGAGGTGAGAAGTCCCGCAGAAAGAGCTCTCGGGGAAGGGAGCGGGCTGGTGCACAATGGGAGCAGTGTAACAGGACGGGCCGGTGTGAGGAGGAGCCGGAAGGAGAGGGGAGGGCTGGCGGGGAAAAGGGACGGCAAGGGCCGGGGACAACGTGGGAAGGAACAGAGAAGTGACTAGCTGGGCAACGATGGTTATAAAAACGCCGACGAAGGAATGGCCATACATTTGAGCCGACAGACGTATAAAAGAAACGGTAGCCGCTCGGTGTGGCCCTGGCAAGTATTAGGCGTGCCTAATCTGCGTCTGGGCAGATGTTCGACCTTAATTACGGCCACCCTGACTGGGCATTATGGCGCCCCCCCCCCCCCCCCCGGGTGACCTTGACATCGGCTCCAGCGCCGGGGATCGGCTGCATTTCAGGAAGCTCTGCTATGATCCGGGCCGGAGCTTCTCCGTTTGCTCTCTTGCTCCTCTGCACCCAGCGTTCTCCTATATTATGCGTTTGAGAAATCGGATTGCCGTGAATAGCAAGCCCGGCGACCGTCACTCGCAACAGATCTCCCATCGTTTCCAATGCTCAACAGCGCCTTTCGGCACGTTTGACGCGGCCTTCAGTGCAGTTTTCCAGCGCTGTTTCACGTGACTGTGCGGCTGTCTAATCGCTCGAAGGTAAACATACCGTGTGGTCTGCGACGTCCCTTATTTCGATGCGGTTTCTCTATTGCTACCGTCCGGAAACAAATTTCCCCCTATCTTTTAAACGCTGTTTTACCCCATATCAGTTGGAACTGGCCTTAAAACTGAGCACCACAGCTTGTGGCGGCAGCTCTGCGCTCCCGAGCTGCCACCTGCACGTCTCCTATCCCCAGCGACGCTGGTCGCCCAGCCGCTGCGCCACCCCGGTGTCGGACCGATGACCCATCCCCAGTCGAGTCAGCCGGGCCGGGCCGGGCCGGGCCGGCGGCCGCGGCGGCGCGCGAGGTGTGTGGCCGCCCCAGCCGTGATTAATAATTGGCGGCTGGGGCGGCGCGGCGGGCGCGTGCAGCGCGCGAGAGCGGCCGACATTCCGGGTGGGCCGCCCCGTGGCTGCCGGGTCACACCTGCCGGCCGGGCCGCCCCCGCCGCGGCGGGCCCCGCACCGGCGGCGTGGCTGCCCGGCCGACGGCTGCGGTCAGGCTGGGAGAGCTGCTCAGAACACAGGGACTGCCGGGTCACACCTGCCGGCCGGGCCGCCCCCGCCGCGGCGTGCCCCGCACCGGCGGCGTGGCTGCCCGGCCGACAGCGCGGTCAGGCTGGGAGAGCTGCTCAGAACACAGGGACTGCCGGGTCACACCTGCCGGCCGGGCCGCCCCCGCCGCGGCGGGACCCCGCACCGGCGGCGTGGCTGCCCGGCCGGCGGTGCGGTCAGGATGGGAGAGCTGCTCAGAACACAGGGACTGCCGGGTCACACCTGCCGGCCGGGCCGCCCCCGCCGCGGCGGGCCCCGCACCGGCGGCGTGGCTGCCCGGCCGGCGGCGCGGTCAGGCTGGGAGAGCTGCTCAGAACACAGAGACTGCCCCAGACGAGGCGGGGTGCGTCCAGTCATACTCCTCCCCCCCCCCCCCTGCGCTCACGGGGAATGGTGTCGCCGCGCGGCACTGGAGCCACCCCTAACAAAGTCCCTTCAGCATGGCTTGTCTGGAGGGTCGCGTGCTGTTTCACAGCGGAAGTCCAGGCCTGAGAGCAGGTCCTAGACGGCGGTGCGGAAGAGACCCCACCTCCCGCCACGAGCCCGCCGCCGAAGGGTGCGCCCCACCCAGGCTGCCTCGCTCGAACGGACACCGTCGGAGAGCCCCACGGGAGTGGTTCTGACAGGTGCGATTTTAGCAGGTGCGGCTGCAGCGCGTCGCATGTGGGAGAGAGGACTCCAGCGAGCGAGTGGGTGCCAGTGAAAGAGTTCGTCTAGGGGCAGAGCGAGTCCCAGCGAAGAGCACGTCCCGCCGAAAGAGCACGGGACCAGTAAGAGAGCCAGTCCCAGTGAGTCTGTGGGTCGCAGTGAAGGACTGCATCCCAATAATAAATGAGCCGATCTCAGTGATAGAAAAGGTCCCACTCAGGGGACAGGTCCCAGAGAGAGCAGGTCCCAGTGACAGGGCCGGTCCCGGCCAGCGAACCCCGTCGATCCCAGCTCGCGCACCGAGCGCGCGGCGGCGGCGGCCTGCGGGGCTGCAGGCGGTGGAATGCGCCTGCCGACCCCGGCGGGGCGCCGCTCTAAAGTGACAGACCCACTGGGCTCCCCGGCGCGGCACGCCGCCGCTGAAATACGGTACAAGATCGGCTATCGGCGGCCGTGTAGCGGCCCGCGTGGGCCGACGGGGCGTGGGCTGACAGCGGGCGTGGGCCGACGTCCCCTGTCAGAGACCCCCCCCCCCTCTGTCGGCTGATGTCTCAGAGGGGGCCCCGAGTCAGGAGGGGGAGGTCCAGCTCCCTCCAGTACGTGACGAATGCCAGTATGCAAGTAAGAGAAAGACGTCATGCAAACCCAGTGCAGTGTGTGTCTTCGGAGGATTTGTATAGAAATCGCGGCGCGCCAGGCCTGAGTAAATTCGCGATCAAAGTCACACGAATAGTATAAATTGGGCAAATCGTATTTGTCATACTTCACCTTCCTTTATTTAATGCCGTGGTTTCTAACCCTGCCGGAAAGATGACGACATGCCTTGCGCGAACGTCGCGGGAAAACGACTGTGACCCGTTCCTGTCATTAACACCATCAAATGACTCTTCTTTATCTGGCTGGGCCAGCTTCCTCGCGTCAACCCAAGTCCTCTGTGGACCAATTCTCTCCTTTGTGGCGGTCCAGCGTCTCGCTCCTTGCTGGTCT